CAGCAGCACCGTGGCTGTGGCCTGTGCCCATGTGGCCTCCTGGTAGCCCCAAGGCTACCTTGGTTCTCCTGAGGCATCTCTGGAAGCGTGGTCTGCGGATGGCAAACAGGAAAGAGCCCTTTACCTAAAGGAGAATGTGTGCCCAGAAAGGGCTTGGGAGGTGGTTGACTGGCCCTGGTGTGCCCACGTGGTGTATGTCCTCCAGGGACATGGCATGCTGGTGTCTCCTAAGCCTGGGAGTGGGAAGCTTTACAGAGAGTCCCAGGGTTGGCACGGTGACTGTGGCCTCTGCTGTGGGACAGGTGCAGGAGAACTCCCCAGCCCAGCAGGCAGGCCTGGAGCCCTACTTCGACTTCATCATCACCATCGGGCACTCGCGACTGGTGAGGCTCCATGACCCGGCCACTGCCGTGCACATCCTGGCCTGGGGGAGGCCTCCCCACCAGGGCTGCGTGCTGTGAGTGGCGCCCCTGCTCCAGCTCCTGCCCTACGTGGGGGCCCTGGAGTCAGTGTGCTGTCCCCACAGAATAAGGAGAACGACACGTTGAAGGCCCTGCTGAAGGCCAATGTGGAAAAGCCCGTGAAGCTTCAGGTGTTCAGCACCAAGACCATGAAGGTGCGGGAGGTGGAGGTGGTGCCTAGCAACATGTGGGGTGGCCAGGGCCTGCTGGGCGCCAGCGTGCGCTTCTGCAGCTTCCGCCGGGCCAGTGAGCACGTGTGGCGTGTGCTGGTGAGTGTCTGGGCAAGGGGGTGGTGGGGAGGGGTTCGCCTTCATGACCAGTGCCCAGTCCCCTGCTGAGCACAGCTGGTTGTCCCTGAGGGCACCCTGCTGCTTTCAGCATCGGGCTTGCTCACCTTCCACCTCAGACCCCTTGGCTGGGACATGGGACTCCGCCTGCTGCTAGGGCAGCTGCTGCTCTGGGTCTTCCCAGGGAAGCTTTGTCAGCTCCCAGCGGCATGTTCTTTCCGTAGGTGCTGGGATGGGACTGTAGTGAGTCTCGGGGAGGGGGCTGTCCCAGGCGCTGCTTCAGTGTCTGTTCACACAACATGTACGTCTGCTGACGTGCCAGGCTCTGAGCTTGGTCCTTCCGGCTTGGAGGACAGAGGACAGGGTCCTGCTTGCTCCCCGGAAGGCAGCTCCCCTGCCCTCCTGGTCCAGTGGCAAGGCCTGGCTCGGCTCTCTCCCAGGATGTGGAGCCCTCCTCGCCTGCCTCCCTCGCTGGCCTGCGCCCCTACACAGACTATGTGGTTGGCTCAGACCAGATCCTCCAGGAGGTGAGGAATACGCAGTCCCCAAACCTGGGTTGGGTGGAGAGGCCTCCTTTTTTGGGCTTCCATGTCCAGCGTGGGGGCAGGACTCAGACACAGTGTGTTTGTCATAGTCCGAAGACTTCTTTTCTCTCATCGAGTCCCATGAAGGGAGGCTCTTGAAGCTGATGGTTTACAGCTCCGAGTCTGACTCCTGCTGGGAGGTGACTGTAACTCCCAACGCAGCCTGGGGTGGAGAGGGCAGGTACTCTGGGGTTTCAGGGCTGCAGGGTGGGCCTAGGTGGGGGCTGAGTGGGCCTGGCCAGTGGGTGTGCTGAGGCCGGTGGTTGGTCCAGGAGGCATCCTTTAAGCCCGTCCAGTGTCATGGTGGGTTGGGTGGCAGAGGACAGGGAAGGCTGTGGGGCAACTCTGGACTGAATGTTTCTGCTTTTGGCAGTTTGGGGTGTGGTATCGGCTATGGATACCTGCACCGGATCCCAACTCAGCCCCCCAGCCACCACAAGAAGCCACCCAGTGCCTCACCACCTGGACCCACCACCCAGGACTCTCCTGCCCTTCCAGGCCCAGAGACAGGCTCCAGGCAGGGTGACTATGTGGAGGTATGGGGGGAGCATCTGCCGGCTGGGGAGGAGGAGGGCTCCGTGTGGGCAGAGGGGCTCCCAGCAGGGGAAAGAGGAGACTCTGCAGGCTGCCCTCACCAGGAGCCATTGCAAGGTCCATCCTCTGGATCCTGGTGGGAGCAGGTGGCCCCACCTGGGACAGTGACACCCACTTGGTTTTCCTGCCACTTGGGTCTGCAGGTGAGGGTAGTGGTGAGTTACTGGTTGTCAGTTCTATTTAACGGGTAGGAAACTGAGGCTCAGAGGTGGTCAGAGCCCTCCTCTGAGGCTCAGTGAATCTGGCAAAGCTGGCTCAGGGCTGGGCCTGCTTTCATCCTGCTGAGCAGGTCACCTGAGTGCCTTTGGGCACTGGGTTGGTGCCAGGAGGTGGAGGGGGACTGCTCTCCCATCATGCTGATATTCAAAGGCCCTCTTTTCTTGGGGGTCATTGCTGGAGCCTGGCCAGGGGGGCACCTGGGGCTCCCCAGCTGAGCAGGAAGTGCTCCTCCATGTCGGCACCACAGGGAGGCCAGCAGGCTGCCTGCCTCCATGTTCCCTGTGGTGCTTGCGGGCATGTGTGAGCTGGGGCAGGTTGCACTGCCCTGTCGCTGCCCACTCCTCTCCTCTCTTCTGCCCTGGCTCCCCTAGGCTTTGTTGCAGGCACCTGGCTCCCCCGGGGAGGGACAGCTTCCTGAGCCTGGGAGTCCTGGCCGTGGTGCTCCAGACTTTGGAGGACTTCCATGTGGCCTGGAGACCCCTCTCCAGCCCCCACCTCCAGTACAGCGAGTCATGGACCCAGGTAGCACACAGGCCCTGGGTGGGCTGAGGAACCCACTGCCAGGGTGCCGATGTGGGTCCCGGGCTGGGAGCTGCACTCTGGCAGGATTCAAACTGCTGTTGAATGTGCTGACCCCGATCTTATATATGCCGGAGGATTGCAGGTGGTCCAATCCAGTGTACAGTCCAGAGAAGAGGGCCTGCTCGGGTCACACATGCTGGGCACAGAGCAGGGTATGGGCTCACTGCTGTCTCCCGTGATGCCCAGCCTCAGACCCCTGCCTTGCTTTCCTCAGAAACAGGCAGTGGGAGGTCACCTCGGGGGTGGGAGTGGTCATCACCACGGGCTAAGGAGGTTCGTCTCAGAGTAGTCAGATGTCATCAGACCGCATCTCTCCCCTAGGTTTCCTGGACGTGTCGGGCATCTCCCTCTTGGACAGCAGCAATGCCAGTGTCTGGCCCAGCCTGTCCTCTGCCTCTGAGCTGACGTCCACAGCTGTCTCACCCTCAGGGCCGGAAGACGTCTGCTCCAGCAGCGGTTCTCAGCGTGGTGGTGAGTGCCTGGCACCTTCAGGCGCTTTCTGGTTGTTGGGAAGGCTGCCCTGTTTCTCAGACGGGTCGGTGGCTGGCCTGGTGGC